ATTCAAATTAGTAAACTTGAATGTCTTCGGCCTTAGCCACCGCTGTTTCTTTTTATTTTGGCAGGCATTAAGACTGAATAAACATAAGGCTTGTTGAGCACCACTTTTGCCACAATTATTTGAACATTTTCATCTTAGTCAGATTCATCTCGCTCACATTTGTCCATTAAAGCTACTTTTTGTGTAAAATCTTCATGTGCCCCTTTATCTCTCTATTTAAGTAATTGCTCATACTTAGGGCGCGCATGGAATCCATTCTGGAGCAGAAATTCTGCTCCAGAATGCATTCCGAAATAGAAATGCGTTTGTTAAAAAATTTCCGAAATGTATTCTGGAGCAATTTTTGCATTCTAGAATAAAAATGCGTTTGTTAAAAATACTTGATTCCAGAATGCATTCTTGATTCCAGAATGAGTTTTGGGCAAGAAAAAGATAATCTACTTTTTGTAGCTTCTCTCTTCCAAAATGCATTCTCCCTCTTTTCTCTCTTTTTTCGTGGCATTTACAACACATTTTGATATCTCACTAATTTTTTTCAGAAAATGCATAAAAATTGAAAAACTCCAGAAAAATTCATAAAAATTTCCAGAAAATAAAAAAAAAGTCAGATTTCGGGAAATAGAAAATTTGGTGAATTTTTTTCAAAAAATACAAAAAAAAATCAAAAATTTCGAAACTTCACAGAATAGCTTAGAAGCCACCTTTGAGTGAAATTTAAATTTTTTTAGGTGTCCAAAAAAATTAAAAAATAAAAAATTTCAAAACTTCACAGAATGACTTAGAATACTTGTGGCCACCCACTTTGAGTGAAATTTAAATTTTTTGAGGTGCCCAAAAAAAATCAAAAATTTCAAAACTTCACAGAATGGCTCAAGAATACATGTGGCCACCCATTTTGAGTGAAATTTAATTTTTTTGAGGTGCCCAAAAAAATCAAAAATTTCAAAACTTCATAAAATGGCTTAGAATACCTTTGGCCACCCACTTTGAGTTAAATTTAAATTTTTTGAGGTGCCCAAAAAAATCAAAAAATAAAAAATTTTAAAACTTCACAGAATGGCTTAGAATACCTGTGGCCACCCACTTTGAGTGAAATTTAAATTTTTTTAGGTGCAAAAAAAAATCAACAAATCAAAACAGATTTCTGTTCCAGAAATCAATTTCTTGAGCAAAATTAGTTATGTTTTATCAAACGGATTTCTCCTCCAGAAATCAATTTCTGGCAAGAATTTGATTTCTGGAGCAGAATGATTACCATTCGCGCCCTTAGACACTCTTATTGCCAATTGGAAAAAATCAGTAAAAATTTGGGAAATCTAATCTCACTTTATGTGATCAACCCATTGAAAGCCAAATTCGTACACTCTTTCTTTAAAAGTGAAGTCGTAGAATTGGTATTGTCGAAGCAAAACTCTCCCAATCACTAGGCGAAAGCTATCACGTTGAGGACAGGAGAGTACAACAGGGAGCAAAACCCATTTCTTCTCTCTCTCTCGTATGATTAAGTTTCAGCAGAAGCTGCAGAACGTATTGGAATTGAGCATTTGATCTGGTATCTTGTCAAGAACAATCAAGGTCGGAAAGGTAATATAAGAAGAATACAAAAAAGAGTAAAAGCCTGCATTCAATTGAACCTCCAAATCAATCTAGCATTGCCCTGTCAAAATCATCTGTCTGCTTTTTTCATTTGTTCGTGAAAGGAGGGTGAGGGACAATTAGTGCTAGCGATCTCTTTCTAAATATTATCGAAAGGTTTTAAGCTCGTTACGGAATGTTCGATTTGAATCATAATCATTATGTACTGTAGATCCACGGAAATGGTCATGAGCATGTGTATCACTAACGATTGACGATGAAGGCCCATTGCTTAAAAGTCTTGCAACCCATAATACAAAAGAAACTATTATTAGGAAGGAAAGAGAAGAAAAGATCAGAAGGAAAGAGAGTCTCCCTAATGGCATGTGCCTGGTGGCAGAGCAGAGCACCCATCCCCATCTCTTCTGTTTCACATGAGATTGTGCCCCTCGAGGTTGACAAGGACCCCCCATCCTTTTCCCTTTGTCTGGGAGAGCCCCTTGGTTTTTAGGTTCTTTCCAATTTGGACCACAAGATTTTTCTGTTCATTGGGGTTCCAATGAACTTTTGGTGTACATTAGTGACAGCATGCTTCTTCAATTGCTAGAAAGGACACTGAAGAGTGCAATTACTTCTTTTGAAGGACAGAATCATTGAAAGAAGAACAAGTGCGCGTCGTTTAACCAAGATCAGGGAAATTCATCTGCAGATCCTCCGTGATTCTAGATTTTAATCTAGTGACCCTTTGTTTGTTCAAAATCATGGTAATAGCCCATTCGCTTTTTGCATATTGGTGAAAATGGTCCCTCCATCCGACTTCCTTACGGTTTCTAAATATTTCAAGTGTCCGTTTCGAATTTGAAAGACCTAAAAATGAATTATGTGGTACTTTCCACAGTAAAATTATTCAAAAAGTCCTAAACCTATTGCACTTTTATCAATTCAGTCATAAATCTTTAATTGTATCAATTGAATCCTAAACTTTTTAAAATTTTGCCAATTAGGTCCATACGGTCAATTTTGTCCAGAAATCGCCAACATGGACGTCGACTATCCTAAGGTGCATAGATGGCGCTGGCGTGGACATTTTTAAATAATATTTTAAGACCTAAAGAGTCATAGTGCAAAACCCCCATAGTACAGGGGCTGTCCACAAAATTTACCCTAAGAATGTATCATGTGGTACTTTCTACGGTATGATTGGCTCCATCACTTGGGCAGGTACGCCATGTGGCCAAAGGCCCACCAGATGGGGAACATGGGCCATGGAGGGGGGGCTGAAATAGAAAAAGAGATGATGAAAAGGGTGGGGATGAATGAAGGCGCACAACTAAAGTGGAAATTGCTCTGAGGCATATAGTCCTTATCTATCTTTGCAACCCCACCCCAATTTAAGCAAAAATCCCTTCCTCCTTCTTCAATTACATCAATGGAATGATCGGAAATGGCCAAACCAACATGATGAAAATCGCGCGAAAACACATCGGACCAAGCAATTGGCGCTACTCATAATTGAGGAATGAACGAATGAGAGAAGGAGAGGGAGAAATATCTGCGCGTGGATATGGTCGAGATGGCCGTACAATACAGACCATGGGTTGGACATAACCCACATCCGGGAAAAAGAAAGGAAGGAACAATGTCGAATCGAATATCGAATCATGGAGGTGTTCGCAGCCCCCCACTCCGTCGATTTTTCTCATTATATCGACCCGACATCCTTATCCCTCGAATGTATGATAGCCGCCGGTCATGGTAATTTCGCAGCTCGAGTAAACCTCATCTCATAACTTAGAATGTGACACTCAAAAGTGTCATGGAAAAGGCCAATGACCTACACATAGACCTGCTCAAACTGATAAATTCTGCATCAGAATCAGGCATGGCCTTTTCGACAGCTCATGTTTGACTGAACTGAAGCTCTGAGAAAGAGAGAGAGAGAGAGAGGTAGGTCTGCATACTGGAACAGTGACCAACCCCACTTCACTTAAAGCCACCCCTCTCATCTAATTTCGTGGGTTTTACAGTTGCAGACTCTGCATTGAAGCTCCCCATCGTTTCCATCTGCAACCGCTGCCTTTCTCCTCGGTCAAGAGACCCTTAAAAGCAGGTGTATCGGTGAGCTTGGCGTGCAGTGTAATAGAGACGACAATGGCCCCACGAGTAGTTAAATTCCACCGGGTTAAAATAAAAGGGGGTCGTCAGTTTCACTCGTTCTTTCCCATCTCTAACTTTCTGCAGTAAAACGCTGGGGGTCGCTCCTCATAAATTTTGCCAATTCAAAACCTCAGATCGGGACGAAGAGAGGACAAGGCCAGGGAGGCGGAGGTTCAGAGTCCTGAAGCCTGACAACGTGGGACTGTCCCTCTTTAGTCCGTGTTTTCAACAGCTTCCCGCCTTTTCTGCAAGCGTCAAGGCGGGCTTCTGTGATCCAGGGGGAACCAATCCGGCGAGATTTTGCCTTGCCTAACTGTATCTTTTATCTTAATTCCGACCCAAGCTGCTGTCGCCGCGCGAGCATTGGAAAAATTCCCGGTAAATAGTCGAGATCTGCTCGATCCAAAGACCATCAATCAGTCTCCTAAAATGGGTTTTCGAAATGTCGCAAGAAGCCGCCGAGGAAATTAACAGAGGGTAAATTTGCTACAGGTATATCAGTTTGGAGTTTTTGGTGGTCAAAAAATTAGTTCGGGATAAAATTGTCACGGGTGTACCAGTTTGGGGTTTTTGGTGGTCAAAAAATTAGTTCGGGGTAAAATTATCACAAACGTACCAGTTCGAAGTTTTTTGTGGTTAAAAAAATAATTTGGGGTAAAATTGTCACAAATATACTAGTTTTGAGTTTTTCGCGGTATTAACCTTTTTCGAAATGTTGCAAGAAGCGGCCAAGGAAGTTCAATTACTAAGACATCTAATTCCCAGTGGCACTAACAAGAGTTACTGCAGGAGAGAACAGTTGCACCGCGACTCGTCCAATGTTACATACAACCGACGAATCATCGGACGACGATCCATAGGGTAAAGGAACACGAACCCATGTTGCGAAAATCGGAAGAGAAACAGTAAAGAAGCACCAAATTAGAGGAGTGGGACCGAAACAGCGGTTGCAAAATTAAGCGATGAAGGTCAGTGAACATGATGAGCAACAAGACACGAGCGTGCCAAGAGCGAAGCAAAAGCTCCAGTGACAGGTCAACAACAACAATCGAGAAGTCCTTGAGAGCCAAAACCCATGATCATCCATCACTTTTGAGACCCCAAAAACACATGCTTTGGCGCTTCAATTTCGCGCAAACTATTAGGCCTTTCTGTTATCTCCGCGCGCGCGCCTCGACCTCTAAAGCTTTTCCATCATTATACTTAATTGAATGCATAAGAGGGTATGATTAGTTGGTTGCCAAGTCCAAGCTCACACATGCACAATCTCGAATCACCTGGTTTTCAGGCTATACCTAAAGATTTAAACATTTTTATCAAACTTGGGGAAACACGAAAGTACAAAAGGATGAGAAAAGGAAAAGGAGGGAGAAAGCAAAAGAACAAAAGGGCACGCAGAAGAAAAGTAAATACAACCACAGGCCTCCCCCTCTTAGCTTTTTCAGAAAACCAACTTCCTTCGGTAAGGCTGAAATTTATCGGACTCCGAGGCGAATGCGGCAAGGTCTCGGATGGTTTCGCTGATCAAGTCCTTGAATATGAGCCGTTCGACGTCCACGGCCACCTCAGACATCTCCACGGGGCAACCGTCCCAACCGTTGATCGCATCCCCTGCTAGATCCTTCCTCAGCACCCCGCAGATCACTTCCAGCAAGTCATCCGACGTATCCCTCTCTCGGATCCTCTGGTACTCCGACCATATCTGTTGTAAGGATGGATTCTCGAGAGCCGAACTCACGACGGAAAGAGACTTCCACCGGAGCAAATGCCTCTTCCGATCAAGGATCTCGGCGACGGTGTCGAATATTAGCCTCCTCTGGAGTCTCGAGACTTGGGAGGTGTCCTTCCCCTTGAGATTTTGTTGCTTCTCCAGCAACAAGAATACGTCGGAGTCTTCGGGAAGGTAGCTGGACACTCGGAGAATGTCAGAGATGTAAACATAATCACAGTCCTCTGCATTCACATTGGGCTTGCAGGAAATTGGGGAAATGGGGCTCCAAGCATCATCGTCCAGTTCAGCCCCTTGATCTGCACCACACCAGCATCATCAAAGTCAGTTGAAAAATTACAAACACCGCAACGCATCACTACGCGCCATCAACTGATGAGTTCACTGGCATAACCAGAAAGCCTTGGCGGGTGATTATGTTAGCTTAAAGAGTGGACATTGTCAACATCAGCACATGCCTCTAAACAGGTGAAAGCAACAAGGGCTCATTTCTACACTGACTAAGCTCATGGAGAAGCCGTTTTCACACTTCCTGGGCAGAAAACGATCCAAACTCCATTAAGGGAGGAGGACCACCAAATGACCCACCAACCAGCAACATGTTCTCTAGACAACTTAGAACATAATCTTTCCATAGCCCGCACCAATCGCGTCCAACACACTAGGATCACGTGACTGTCTCAAATGCTTAGGCCTAGAGATGCAGCAGCATAGCATAACTCCCATCAACACATACAGACAATACAGAAGAAGTATTACAGCACTATGCAGATGTTCTAAGTATGTAGTATATGAGGTCACTCGGTATAATGTTGCGGGTGGGACAAAGCCCCATCCGTCGTCCCACGTGACAGAACGCCGAACACATGCTGGGTTTATATTATACTTGTAACACCCTCCATGGGGTCCCCCCACAGGCCACAGTGCCAAATGATTCTGGCTCTTCATTCTAGTCAATCCAGCTCATGGGTTGGACCCCCGCCTACTAATTTAATCCATGCTCTTGTGCCCTGAATTGGCCACATTCATATGTCACCAAAAAAGCGCACAAGAGCTTCGCCCCCCACACACCCACGCGTAAGTAAGACGTGGGTCGCAGATCCGCACCAACCTTCGCCATCGCAAGACGACCCCATGAATTCATCCAGAGGTTAAAATTTGCTGAACCCGAACTGCGATTTTTACCGAAACTGTCCCGAGCTTGCTATTCGACTCGAGGACGGGGACAGGTACATGACCACGCGACGGTTTCGTTATAACAGACCTACTTACACAACCAGCAGATGAAAAGGATGTACTGGGGACATTGTCCGGAGCATTGATGATTGGGACATTGCTGAGAAAACTTGGGAACAAGAATGCCAGCGTTTTTCAAAGCCATGGACGTTGATCGCACAATCACTTCACATTGACTCAGCGACGCTCATGACTATGCTGGCTTTAAATGGCGAGCAGGGGGAAGGGGGACCAAGCTAATACCCAATGAAAAGAAAGAAGAGGCCTGAGACTTAGACCAGGTCCAGTCCTTCTGCAGCTGCCGCTGCTGCAGGAGGGTCTCGCCGTGATCGAAATTTTCGCAAGAAGTAACCCATCAAAATCTATGAAGCGATCTGTGAAAACTAGAAACTTTCTTCGAAGCCTGTTGGCTTTAGTAATAAATGGTTACCTTCGAATTCAATGCTGCGCTTCATTATAGGCGAGGGCGACGACTCCTCCTTGTAGAACGATGGGTCGAGCACGGACACCGGGCTCGGCTGCTGCGACTCCGCGGCCGGCGTGATCTCCGCTATGCTGTGCAGCAGCTTGTGGCATCTCTCCAGCAAGCTCTTCCCTTCCTTGTACTCCTCCATCTTCGATCTCTGTTTCGCCATTTCGGATCAATCAAACATGAGCTAAAACTTTCATGGGCACGGGACTTATGTTGCGGGAATGATAAAGACGAAAGGAATTTGTAATTTGGACATGGAATGTATATTGGGTTACCTCCGTATCGGTCAGTGATGGAGTGCTGATGCTGCTCTCTGAAATGGTGGACGACTCGTCCTCTGCGGGTAGGAACACCTTCTCCTCCTCCTCCTCCTCCTCCTCCTCCACCTCCTCCTGGTAAGCCTTGGCCGCCGATCTCCGAGTCCTCGGAGATCGGCTCGTTGCCATGCTCTGGTCCGGCGGTCCCCCTGCCCTTCTCAAGCCAATCCTCGGGGACTGAACAGGAGACACCCGCCGCTGCTCCGCGGCGACGCCGTTTGCTCTCCTCTGAGGCTCCACCGCCAGCAGCCTCCTCCTGCTTGGACTGTTGACGCCATTGTCACTCCGGGTGGGCGAAACCGAACTCCTCCCTCTGTTCTGACTCCTCACAATCTCGCGCCGAGGGTTCGCCGCCGGCGAGGCGTCCACGGACGCTGCGCCAGGGCTCCGACGAGCTGCCACCTGCCTCGATCTGAAGCTCGAAGGCGGTGAATTGCTCCCATTCCTGCCGTAGAGATTGCCCGACCTCGACGGCCTCATGACCACGATTGGAGAGTCGTTGAAACTTCTGTCGTAGACGATGTTTCTCGGGTTCACATCGTCGCGCTTCGAGTGGAGAAGGCCTTTCAGCTGCAGAGCCTCGAGGATTTGCTTCAGCGTCTCCAAATCCTTGGACGGCTCGTCGATGCCTCTCATCCTCAGTTTCTTCTCAATCTCTTCGTAGATGGACACGGCCTGTTTGGGCTCCGGGAAGAACTCCGTCGAGTCGTAGAAGCTCTTCCTCTGGATCAATCCCCTGTGCCCGGCTTTCGCCGTCTCCTGCGCCTTCGCGTTCCTCGCGTCGTGGCCGGCTGCGGCGGCGGCGGCGGCGGCGAGGCTCGACTTTTTGTCCCCTCTCGCGGCGGCATTCTCTCTGATCGCATTGCTCGCGACCTTGCCCTGCACGTTGAATTGCTGCGGCTGGTTCACGTGGAAACCGCTCGCGGCCCCTTCCATGAACCGGTAGATGTCCTTGTTCACCCTGGACTCCGAAGCGGATCTCCGGAGCTCCACCTTCTTCGCCGGCTCCGGATCCGGGCGAGGCAGGTTCTCCAACCCCATGAGCCGCGCGATCACGCTCGGCGACCGCCGCTGGCTCTCGTCGTCGCGGCCGCCGCCGCCGCCGCCGCCAGCCGCCTTGTCGGGCCTGGCCCCGGACAGAATCGCGGCGTTCGTGCGGATCTCGCGGGGGTAGAGGCTGCCCTTGGCGTCCGTCGTCGCCCTGCTGTCGAGCGACAGCCTGGGAGCCTCCTTGGAGAACTTCCACGGGGACCGCGTGCCCTCCTTGAACTCGAACACCGGGAACGGGAGCGGCGACCTGGCGGCCGCCGGCGTCCCGGGCTCCGGCGCCGCCGACGGGGACCGGATCTCCTTCAGCGGAGAAGGCCAGGACCGATCCGGCGACGGCGACGCCCTGGCCGCCGCCGGGGAATTCGCGAGCTCCCCGGACATCGCCGGAGAATCAACAACCTTGGGCGCCTCTCGACCCGAATTCAGCCCCTGACGATCAAAAAACAAAAGAGCACCCATCAGAGAAACAGCAACGACGAGACCGAACGAGCGCGCGCGCCCCCAACCCATCACGCGAAAAGCGGGAAGAAAAAACAGAGAGGGAGGGAGGGAGAGGACGACCGTGGAAGGGGGGAGGCGCTTGGGGGAGTAGAGGCGGGGGCCGGCGAGGGCATGGTGGCGATCGAAGATGTGGAGGAAGCCGGCCATGCACCCGATGTGCTTCTCGATCTGCTTCTCCAGATTCTGGTCCTGCACGATCCCCGTCATCATCTTTTTGCCCCCTCAGAGATTCTCCCCCCTCCCTCTCTCTCTCTCGCACGCACCCACCCACCCACCCACAACACCCTTTCTCGCTCTGCCTCTGTAGCTCGCCCGGCTGAGACGAAAGTGTTCCGATCTCAGTTCTCCATCACTCCCATTCCTTGTCTTCCCCTTCCTCTTTCTCTCTGTATTGCTCTCTGTTTCTCTTTCTCTCTGGGCGTGCGCGAGAGTGTGGGTGGGGTGGGTTGGGGGTGACCGTTCGCTTTTAGTGATGACTCCCGCTTTGCTGGTCTTTTAAATGGTGTGGGGGAGAGAGAGCGAGCGAGAGCGATGTCAGGCGATGATGAAAAGGGTGCCAAAATTTGCGAGCGAGAGCTGAGCTGAGCTCGGGCTCTCGGGAATTGACTAATTTCGCCCTTCGGCTTTCCCGGAAATTACCGCGCGGGGCCGAGTCGCGTGTCGTTTCCTTTCGCGACGAGGAAGAAGCCCCCCCCCAGAAATTTACGCTCCTGACCGACCACTCACTGGGATGGCGGTTAAAAATATTCAATTATTACATTAACTGTTTTTTTGTTTTAAAGATGACGAGCGCCCTATTAGTACTTTACTTTGAAGGCACTCGTTGAGTTAATGACGTACTTAGCCCAAAAAAAAAGTTAATAAACGGCTTCAATTGCGATTCCTTTCTTCTTCTTCTTTTTTTAAGATTTCGTTTATTTCGCGAAAAATGTAAAATTTCCTTGAAAATATTTTTCGAAAAGTCACTTTCCAGAGAAATGACAATATTTTTTCAGTGTTTAGATGAGACCCGAAAATGGAATGAAAAATATTTTTGATCGTTTGATAAGGAATATATCATTTTATTTTTCTAAATAGACATGTATTATTTGGGCATCAGTGGATTTGCACCTGGGTAGCCAAGGAACCTGGTACGAGCACCGGAATCCGAAGCCCGAATCCCCACTCGTGAGCAAGAGAATTGGCACTGGTCTTGGATCTATCGAAACCGAGCCCAAGAACTTGATGCCCATGCCCGGCTCCCTAGCGCCTCAGCCCCGGTCTATAGAGGCCAAGCCCAAGTGGTGCCTAAGCCCGATCAATTGAGGCCGGGCCCCGAACCCAGGTCCATTAAAGTCAAGCCCGAGACCTTGGCACCCGTGCCCAAGTCCATTGAGGCCAGGCTTTGGTCTCCATGGTCCTCGGCGCCTAGGCCCAATATCGATGGACCAAAGCACGGGCACAAGGGACTCGGGAATGGGCGCAAGAGTCCCAAGTTTGGCCTCGATGGACCTACACTCAAAAGTCGAGGACCCAGGCATGGGAGCTGGGGGGTTCAGGGTCAGGCCTCGATTAACCCAGACTCGAGCTCCGAGGACCCTGGCCTAACCTTGATATTACCGGGCATGGCATCCAAGCACAAGCACCGATGTCCCGGGTGTCGCCCGGCGCGGGGCCGGGGTCTTAGGCACAGCCTAGATGGACCCGGGCCCGAGAGCGAGCATTGGGGTTCCCATGCCCAAGCACAGAGTTTCTAATTCAAGTATTGACAGCTAGTTATATTTTGAAAAATAATTTCTGACTTTTCAAAAAGAAAATCATTTTCTTGAATTTAAGCTTCAATTGGAAAACTTTTGCCGTTGATTAGAAAAACATGTTCCGTTGGCTTATTTTTCTAAGTGATCCAAACACCTAAAAAATAGGAAAAAGAAATTTCTGTAAAATGTTTTCCCCTAACAAACGAAGCCTAAGGCCATGTTCGAAGTTTTCGGGAACTATTCACCCAAATTTTCATTCAGCCTGCGCTTAAACGACGGCATTTCAAGAACTAAGAAGGGACAAAAAGAAAGACACATACCGTGTCGTTTGAAGCGAATTTCCTCCTTTACGAGCGAAAACAATGCAATCTCCGATCCCATCCCCATTCTCTCGTTTCCCAAACAGAGTGTGTCGTTTGAACTTTGAAGCGGAATTATGGGAATTACAAGATAGACTAAAATTTAGCAAGGGTGAAAATTAGGAATGGCCAAAAATAGAATCGACTCACGCATACTTTTATGTCATTTTTTAAATCGATGGTGTTACAAGTCGATCACAACAACAAATTTAAACTCGTGTTTTAGACACCCTGATTTAGGGAAGGTGTATTCGTGAAGAAGGCTTAGAATATTTTCATGCCTCTCGCACGATTTGTACCGGTTGAACACGGTTTAATGTAATGACCATTTTTCAAGTTCTTTATAGACTCGAGCTATCAAAGCTTGTCCAACCTTTGGGTTTGTTATCCGAGAAGTAGTTCAAAAACACTATGAACGGAACATATGAGTTTGTCTCTAAGTATTGGACCATATAGGATCCTCCAATTCCTATAGAACCGACCACAAAGGTACCCCAGAGAGGGGGATAAGGCTAAGCTGAGCGGAGAGGTTTTTTCCATCGGTGCTTAGTTAGTTAGTTGCGCTAATGATGCTCGCTAACAGAGAACTCTTGGTGCTCGCCCGGTCTAGTTGGGTGGAATTGGCATACGACCCAAGGGAATCAAATCAAGTTGCAGATTGGCTCGCCAAAACACACCGCAAGAAGGCTCTTCCTCACAACTGGCTTGTAGTGCCGCCATCACCTCTATGGGATCTTGTATGTTCAGAAACCCATAACTTTTGTTACCCTTTGAATTATAATGAATGAAGTGAATAGTTTTCCGATCAAAAAAAAAAACAGAGAACTCTTGGTGGAATATGACCGAGTCTCTCTCAATAAGATGTTTTTTTTTCCTAGGATAAAGGGTCAAGAGGGTGTTATTGCAAAGAACCTTACACACTTGTTAGAGAATCTTTGGTTTGAACCATGATTATTCGGTACCACCGATTACGTGATGCTCGATTTTCGTGAACCCACCTAAGTTAGGGGGTGGCAATTCATATTCACCGATCGCGTTTGTTTCGTGTCAACTTAAGAATATACTAACAAATAGGTCAATTCGAACATGATTAGTTTGCAATTTGTGTCTAAAATACCTCAACCCGAACACAATTTATTTCGTTAAACAGGTAAGCCAAACACGACCCCACATAAAACTCACTAAATTGCATGGTTCAAATTGGGCCATTCCAACCCGAACGTGACACAACAATTCGAATAATATCTTTTTTGCGTAATTTATGAAAAATTTTATAATTTCAAACTTTCTAAAATCATAGCGATCGCTATGTCAATTTCACTAATGTTAATCATTAGCAACAAAGACACAAAAACATAGCCAACTAATCAAGTCGCACTGATTGATCGTGTCGATATGATCCATTTAGATAAAATGGGGTTAGACAGGTCAGTTTCATTTTATACAGGTCAATCCCGAACACAAACTACTTATAAATTTCACCAAATGACTTAACACGTACAGCTCGCAAAACTGAAACCCGCCCAATCAATGTCATGGTCGAGCTGTGCTCTCGTATCATGTCGGAAAAATCCTCCCCGAGGATCCATCCACACAAAAGCTAGGCCCGCGCGCCGTTCCCAACCTTGGATTCTCTATCACCGCGATCGCACATTCGAGGAAATACTCGGCTCGTACCGCCAGACCGCCACCACCTCGGCTGCCACCGCCACCGTGCCCCCGCCACAATCATCGAGGCGAGGATAGATTTGGCACTACACGACCACGTCATCCATGGGAACTCGAGCGCAAAACGAACGGATATGCGCGCATATGGTGAACGGAATGGGGCAAATGCAGAGGGGGGTTGGGTCCTTGATGTTTGGGGAGGTGCTCGGAGGGATGGAAATACTGTCGGGACTATTTTACGTAAAAATTAATGAATTAAATAAACAAATAATAATAATAATATATAACGATGGGCATTACTTTATTTTATTTTTAAAAAATTAATTTTCTGTTTGTTTTTTTTTGGCCCGTCCGTTGGGGGAGGGACTGAAAATTTGCAGGTGGCCTCTGGCGACGCAGGCTTAAGGGGCGAAGGGAAGAGCGAACCCGAGAGCGGGCGGTGTTCTCCACGTGTCAGAAACCCACTTCCCCGATCCTTGGGGGTGGTCGTCGTCCAAGTGACGACCCCGTTCTCCTCGTCTACATATTCCTTCGTTCGTCTATCGCGTCATCAATAACATTTTCCTAAGAGTCATTTGGTAGAAAATCAAAGGGAAATGGCACAAACAATTTCTGAATTTTAGTTTAATGTGTAATTTGATCCTTGAATTTTTAATTTTGTTCAATTTCATCCTTGAAATTTTGGTACATATTCAATTCAGTCCCCGAACTATATGAAAATCTTCAATACAATCTTTTCCATTAATTCAAATTTAGGGATTTGATTGAACATTTTCATATAGTTCAGAGACTGAATTGATCAGGGATTGTATTGAACAAATTAAAAGTTCAGGGACCACATTGAACATTAGTCTAAAGTTCAGGTATTACATTGAACAAATTAAAAGTTCTTTCCATTAATTCAAGTTTAGGGATTGGATTAAACATTTTCATATAGTTCAGGGACTGAATTGATCAGGGATGGTATTGAACAAATTAAAAGTTCATGGACCATATTGAACATTAGTCTAAAGTTCAGGGACTACCTTGAACAAATTAAAAATTCTTTGACCAAATTGTACATTAGGCCAAAGTTCATGGACTGTTTGTGTCATTATCCCAAAATCCAACTACAAAAGACCATTCGGGTATAAAGAACATATGTAATCGGTTGTTCGCTCATACGTGAAAGTAATAACAATATAACGCTACTCTAATACCAGATTAGAAAATCTAACTCAAAAAACTTAAGTTAATAGCAGGAGGGAGACAATGTAAATATAAAGAGTTTATAGAACTCGTTGCCAAACGAAGACAATATTTCGACAATTTGTATGAAATATACATCGTTCTTCTTGGTGAAATGGGCGTGCGGTGGGGGAGGGTCTAAAGAATCATGTGGCGTTTTCATCGCCATCAAATTAGTCTCATCAGGTGTTTGGTGTATATGATAGCGAGGTTTTCTCTTCCATTATGGACGCCGTTGGTGCTGAACATTAC